CCAATAAAGATCGTGCTTCATTGCCGCGTTGTCTTGTCGCTACAACAGTATCACTGGTTCTCTGATACGTCCCTGAGTACTGTCCATACTTTGTACCTGTAAGCAGTGTTACGTCAGTCATGTCAGTTTCCATATTACTTCCTAAAAACACGAATCATAAACCAATTCAGTAAAGGAATTAACTAGGTTACTTTTTATAAGGTAAGAATGGTGTATACTATTCGAAACATTTGCATCTGTTGATTGCGAGGACCATGGAAAATCCGATACTTTGACGCTTTGGTGTTTGTCAGTCTGTACCGTTCATATAAACTTATTATAAACATCAAACTGACGAAAGCGATCAAATTAAGTTTAAGGTAGAGTTGCATCACGCTAAAATTTCCGTCTATTCAGCCCAACATGACTCCTTAATAAGTGAAAATGTCACCTCAAACCACAACATCCGTTACTGATAAACTAATAAAAGCAGTATTCAAGAAGTAGATAGGTTTTCCGGCATTTGAAAAGTATTTTACTAAAATAGTCAAAATGATGACGTTTAAAACAATAATTCGTTTACTTACTCGCATGGGGCAGTAGTGTTTCTGTTCGGCAAATTACCTCGTGTTAATCATAACCGTGTAGACCAACCTTGTTAGTTTTATGCCATTGTGCAAAGCTTTGTGAACAATGGTAGAGTTCACCTTATCTCGTATTGATTTCAGCATTCGGTTTTCAGTTAACTAGCGATGATAGTCGAGTCAAAGTCAAGTCAAGTCAAAATAAGCTTTATGAACCCCAATGTGTTTAATTTCAGTATTTACACTACCACTGCGGACACCTGGATAATCACATCAATATACAGGCTTGGGTAGAAAAGTGGGAAACAAGCAGAAGTTATACCCTAACAACCGCTCGAGCAGCATACTATTGACTTTTCTTGTGTCAACAAGCAAACGTGAAAGATAAAGCAAAACAGTATTAAGATAACGACGTGCAGGAGAAAAAGCCACTGTGTTTCAAACGACAGAAGAGAAGGAGAGCGTTTTGGAAAGATCGTTGTGAAATGGATGAAATCGATCAGTTAGTGTAAAAGAATAAAAGTCATTGCAGGTATAGAAAAGTTTACAAATGACAAACCAACTAAAGATTCTCTAGACAAGCCGCTGCATCCAGTAATGTGCTTTATAGGTCGCAACAACAAGCTGTAGTCTTTCGGAATCAGTACAGGAAAGAAGACAAGAAATCAGTATAGCCAATTGGGAATAATAAAAGAGGTCATAAACCTAAGTAATAAAATACGAGGTTCTGAAAGCACTTTAAGTCTGTGGGCATTATTGGAAAGTTCTCGGACCTTTTGAAAAGTTTTGCAGACGCACGTCGACCAAGTAAGGTTCCGGGACAAAAATGCCGAAATCCTTGAAGGTGGAAGAGCTGAGTACGGGATTTTCATTCACACTAAACGTGGGAGAGAAAGCTATGAGAGAATGCAATTTATCGCCAGATAGAAAAGACAAGATCACATCCCTGCTTTCGGAAGCATTAAGCGTAGGAGATCGAGATGAAGACCATTACACCAGATGTTCCAATCAATTATGAAGTGATGAGGAATCCTGGTTAGTTAGAGGACATTTATCCCAGCAAAACGTTACCACCATATTTACTCCCATAAACGTGATTTGTATAGATTCAACTTGGTGAAGTGAGCACGATCTGTAAACTAGTCATGGAACAGATTACACACACCAGGGTGAATTCAATTTTCGGGTAGCATGTTTAGCATGCTTGAACTATCCAGTCTTCCAAATGCAATCGAATAATCCAAGAACAGAAGCCGTACGGATTGACAATTTTGATCTAATTCAGAGGCTAGAGAATGAAAAACCTATTCCATTGCATCCAATGTAGGGTGCTGTAGTCTATCCGCAAAAAGGTAGATATCGCTTTCAGCAGCAGCTGAAAATATCTGCGGAATTAACAGTCTTTCTAAAACTTTTAGAATCATATTTGTACATGCAATCGGGCGATACTTTTGAGATCCTCCTTTTGGTACTGGAGTGATAGTGGAAGTTCTCCAAATGTCCGGGATCACACCCGTAGTAAGGCATTTGTTAACAAGATCTGTTAGAGACAGTGTAACAGAATTAGAACATTCCTTCAAAGTTAATGGTGAGAGTGCATCCGGACCACAAGCTTTGGTTGCTTTTGATATTTTGAGTACTTTGTGACCGTTGCTTTGGTCGAAGGGAGCAGATGGACTTAAGCTAATGAAGGCGGGCAAAGAAGATGAGCTTATTGAGTCGGAACTAAACTCCGAATTCAGTTTATCCATATCCACTTTACCTCACTGGTAGCAAAAGCCCTTATCCCAGAGCTGCCTGAGAATACTCCGTAGATTGCGGCAGTTATGTTTCCCTTCAACTGCTTCGACTTTAAATGGTTTAGTCTTTTTTATCGGATTTAATTGTGGTGCTTTTGCTTTTAACACGGATAGCATTCTTGCACTTGTATGCAATTCTTTCATTCTTGTAAGTCGCTTTAGTAGTGTTTATGAAAATCTATCTGCTGTTAGATAGTTGGTTTCAACAGGGCAAAATATATCAAAGCAAAATTTGATGTAGTCCGTATGATCATCATTTTCGAGCTACAGGTCCTCATCGCTGAATAACGAAAAAGCAGTTAAATGAAACATCGTCTGGAGCCTCGTGATATTTTCCTAGGAGCAACTACGTCGTTTGATAATCTTTTAAGGACGTCTGGTCAGCGTTAAAAAATTAGACCTGCCATAAATGACTGGACACAGTTTTACAATATAACAGTCTGAGCTGCTCAAAGGAGCCTGCTTTTGTATGGCAAACTACAGTCGATTATTTGTGAACACAGCCTCCAACTGGGCGTCTTGTTTGGTCGAAACAGTCACTACGCCTACCAAGGCAAGTGTCTACATGTGTATGTCGTATCCTTTCCACTGAAGTCACCAGCAGCAATACAGGCAGAACAATCTAATTTTATCAGTAGCGTTGAAGATATGTGGTCTTCAAAAAGATTTAACTACGATGCAGATGTGCCAGGAGCAATATGTGTGTTTTCAACGATGACTGATCGAAAGCCACTTACGAACTTCGGTTTGCACGCAACTAAGTGGCAGCTTATGGAAACCGTTAAGTAAGTAAATATTATGATTGCTACGTCGCGCCAACATCGATTGATATAAAGTATGACGCCATCACCACCAAAATGGGGCTTTTCGGGGCGGACAGACAGGATGGACAAATAACCATCGATTTGAATTACCACATTTTATACATCAACATGCAATCAGCTATCTAGTAACATAATGGTTTCTGTATTAACGTACTCATTTCGCTGCATAATGTCATTGAGATCCCTAAGTTTATCAAGGAGTGAGAGAACATTACTGGAAATATCTGTTAGACTTGCGCATTGTGGAGAGAAAAACGACTGAGGTCAGGTCGCCAGACAAACTATACTTGTGTTTTATTCTAAGACATTTCTTCGTGATACGTTTGCAAGTGTTCCTGACTTTATGGCCGTATTCGATAACGCACAGATTAAAAGCAGTAGCACGTAATGTTTTCAAATGTTTGACGGAGTATGACAACATTGACCTTGAGGCACGATCAGGAAAAACAAATTGTTTCAACGTTAGAAACAACGTATAGAATCTGCAGTATGTGGTATAAAATAATCCAACGCGAGCGGCAACGGCAAATTTGAAGGCCCCGCCACTTCAAATAACTGTATTCGCTCTATTAATAGCTTCAATGAACACAAGTTTAATATTGTGCAGTACGTTAGATCTCAGTTTGTTGCCGAACCAAGTCATTTAAATAACCATAAGATTCTTACCATGGTCTCGCAGGATTCGGTTAGACCTTAGTAGACATTGTATTACCAAACTTCTCGAACTGCTAAGTTAATCCAACGTTTAAACCAAATGTGAGCTCAAGGTAGTATTTTAGAAACGGTCGCGGCAAATGAATTCATATCAAAATCTTAAAAGTACCCATAATTCAAGATTTTCAACGATATTGTACACAGATTGTAAATGACCTTCTAGCTAGTTGAAATAAATGCAGCGAGGAATAGAGGTACAACCCTTTACACAGCTAAAAGCAGCGTTGCATTCAGCTACAATTTCAAGTGAACCGATCGATAGTCCGAATGACGATTAGGAACTGAACTACTGGGACATAAACCTCAACAAAATCGAAGTATACATGAGTGTGCGAGGCGAGAGTAATTCTAGCACTCTAAAATATATGAGGTAGTGCGTGATTATAAATGATTTAGTTCAAGCTCTAAGGGTCTGTCATTGAATAATGGTCTAAAGTTTGTGACATAGAACATGTGCTGAGGATCAAGACACAGTGTTAGATTCAAAAGTGGTTTGCATGAACGTAATCATGTTGGTGTAAAGAGATTGAGTAACAGTAATATCGCTGTGCCTGTAAAAGTTTAATATCCACAGTAATGATAGATATTCATATATTCGAAGTACACATATCCTCATATATAAATAACGGGTATCACAAACTATTAGCAGCATAGAATAACAACAGTCAGGTCACGTGAAGCACTGTTGTTTAATTTGTAACCGCAAAGTTGTTAGGATGATTTTAACGAGTCAGGCGGGACATTTCATTACTCACTAGACGATTTCGTCTCGTTTATGCTGTTTAAATATCCTTTTAAAAGAAACACCAAAGTGCATCATTTATTGGTGTCTACATAACGTGGACGCGAGAACTCACGTTATCAGAATAAGGCAAAGTTCTGTAGTTATCAGCTCGTTGATTATAAATAGTATATTTTTAACACTAAATTTAGAAACGAAGACAGATAGCACCAATATCCAGGTGAGATTTAACCTATGAAAGACAGATTTGAAACTAACCTAAACTTTGGCACGATAGTGCAATCATTAATACTGGAATTCTAATGATGTTTATTCCGATTTTTCTTCCATTTATACCTTTCCGCTGAACACTGTCCAGTGCCGTGCTCTGCCTAGAACTTTGTTACCTACGCGTTGTGACTGGGTGTGCAGACGGTCGGATTCGTATTTGGAACGTGTTAACGCAACATTGTCAGCGTGTCTTAATCGGCAACAATCGACTTGATCCCATCCTCTGCCTGATGGTAACGGATAACAGGTGGGTGTACCACATTAAGAATTATGAAATATCCTCTTCCCTCCAGCAGCTCAAGTGTATTGAATAAATAAAAGTATTATGAAGAAATCTATGGCTATGATATTTTGGTGAATTGACAAATAATGAAAATTTTAGCGGTCAGTAGTCAGCCAAAGCAAACGGATTCATTCGGCCGGAATGAAGTGGCGCATTAAAATAGCCTGGGGGCGCTACATAGGAATAACTAACCTTTGCTGGCTAAGTACGAAAGAATCTAGACAATACGTAACAGATTAAGGTACATGTAATTTCTTCCATAAACTAAATTAAATTAATCTCATTTCCAATTCGAATAAATATTCGTACGTAACCACAATTTTCCCATTATACTAGTCCGAGAGAGTGATTTTCCTGCGTGCGGTCGCAAAAAGCTGTCCTCCTGCGTTATTCGCATCCAAATCTTTGGATTTATTCTCACAGAGACCCACGTGCCATCATTCGATTCGGCTCTGCGAGCTCCTCCTACCACTGTTCATCTATTGGGTCTATCATTCACGGATCACCAGCAAACTGTGCTCTTGCAACTTCGAAGTCAACCGTATTTGAACCTTATCGAAGGTTTTATTTTTACTGTCGTCGCATAAGAAGTCTGGTGGTCTTATTTTAAAGATGTTTTTGAGAGTCATCCGATCAGCTTACTACCATTCCTTCAAGTCGCTCTACAAAGCGATAGTCGTCAATTTGATCCTCCCTTGGAACTGCAACTGTCGTCATTATACAGTATTTTCCAAGTCATCTTGCTCTGCCACAATCCTGCGTCGTATCGCTGCCTACCCTCTACCGGCTGGCTCGATAGCACGCACTTCGCCTATCTACCCTAAGGAATCTGTGAATCATCTGGCCGCGACGCGCCTGGACCCGCTGACTTCAAACCAGCACCGATCGCCACGCAATGGTGCCTCATTATCTCTATCCTCTTTCTGTCTCATAAAACAGCCCCCCCGTACTGAGTACTGTGAACAATGACCACTCCCCTGATTGATTTTTGTGCGTACATTCTCCTTTTAAACTCCCTTTATACGGCAATACAGTTAAATCTGTAAGCCCCCCGAACTGATGACTCCATTATCCCTTTGCAATCATTTTTGTCACGCTATACACCCTACGGAACATGTCAAGCACCTGCCTTTTTACCCGTTATAAATCACTGTTCATTGTTCATCTGGCTTTAATTGGAGAGAGTCATCGTGGATATAGTAAGGCGTATGTCTGCCTTTTATATATAGAACGTTAGCTGCGGTTATATGCATCTACTCCTTCAGGTCATATAACATAAGTCGGACTGATACGGTATTTATTACTCAGCAGATATTGGTCATCACTGCATGCTATGCGACACCACTACATTGGCAGCGAGGTTGGAAAACTACGATTAGCAGGAGAAGCGAAATTTTTCCCAAAACAAAGCTACATTAGTCAGTATTACCTGCTATGCAAACGCACCACGTTGAAGCCCATGATTGATAAGGATTACTCATCAAGTATAGACTCATTCCAACCAGATTTATCAGTATTACAAGGTCGCGTTTAACTTGTTGGATTAGATATAACTCTTGCAAAAATAATGCGTTTTGGCAATTTAAACGGAGTTGCCTTCAAAACACGTGCGCAATTATTCCCTTTTTAGACTTCCCGATAAAAAATCATTATAATTTGAAAGAGGTTTCTCCAGGCTATACGTCAGCGTTAAATCCATATTTGCCCAACAGTGTTTCTAGTAGCTGCGTATTATTTTGAAGTGGTTAGTTCACTGCTCACCAAGTGTTCGGGATTGCAAAGCGTCCTGTTTTGCTTCGTCCAATGATGTCGCCATTGATCAAAAATCCAAGCCTAGCATATTGCGGCTTCGCGCAACTGGCTTGCCTTAAGTCCAGAGTATGTCCTACTACGCAGTTCCAAGAACAAGTCGCTTGACGCTGTGTTGAATGGCGTTTGCACGTGTGTAGTCAACTGCCACACTCGATCACATAGACTAGAGAGAATTAAGAAAATTACGCAAAACGAAGTCCACTGCATGACAGGCTGTTTAACAATAATTACTGCAGAAAAGTGGTTCCAAACGGCTTTTTGGGTTATGGATGCAAGACAGATCATCACGTCAACTGTGCTTGGTTAACTGCAAATGAAATAAAATACCGAAAAAAGAATACATGCTTCTTTTGATCATGTTTTGATTGCTTGCTGTCTCGCTTGATAGGTGTATTGCAGTTTTACACAAAAATGCGATGACTTAATGGCAGTTAATATTCTTTAAATACAAACCCGCCTGTGTTCAGGGCCCAAGGCTCCTAGAAAAATATAGGGTCCGAGCCATGGTTGATGGTGAAATAGTAAGGTTAGGTACATGAGAAACACTGATCCGAAATCAGGTAAACATCATAGTTAAATTAGTTATGGGATTACTACACTAGCGCAAGCAAAATTGTCTAACACCAACTCTGTACTTCAATTTACATCGACAAACAGGGAGATAAAATATACAGTTACATTCATAGCAACGTAGGCTTTTGTGGCTGCTGCCTAATAACTTGGACAAAATTTCTGAATACCCCTGTAGGAATCACACAGACGCTCATAACTTAACTCAGAAATCAGATACCATTCCCTTCACAAGCCGCTTAATTCTAGATAAGCTTACAAGTCGTCGATGATCGTATGTTTCAGTGTTCGCGAAGTTAGCACGAAGGCCACGAAAGAAATGTTGTTTGAGCACAGAAGAAATTGGGATTCCGTATGTATAATAATAATCGTCCAAGTGATGTTGGCTATAGTATTGCGCAAAGTACGTCACCCAAATTCAACTCATACGAAGAATCACGGCTGCTACCTGGGATGTAACAAGCAGTGGACGATGTTGATCCGGTTCTCTTACCAGTCACCCAGCTTCGAAATTAATCGTGAATCGTTTTGATTTTATTTGATGTCATTTGCAGAAAGCGTCAAAAACGAACGTATATCCCTGACTTTTAGCAATATAGGAACAGGGAAACGTAGTTATTTAAGCATGAGGTCCCAGAATGTAAACTTTCTGATGAGTAGGATTTTTAGGCCCGTGTTTGGTAGGAATAGCTTTACAGTACTTAAAACTCTAAATCAATAAGTTGCCTATTAAATTAATCGTAAGACTTCACTTGTCATTAAACTATATAGGCTGTGACCTAAAAATAAAATATTATTGTTCCTACTAAAGAACATTGCAGATAATGCAAATGAAACTTTGCGCAATTGGCGTAAAAAGTAACACTTGGAGCGGCGTCTAAAGGTATTTAACACAATACCCCAAATGACCGACAGAAAGAGCAAATTAACCTTAGAATGACGGTGATTTTAATAAGTCTTTCTAATGAATTCCTCTGATTCCCATCACAAATAAAAGTTTAAGGGCCCGGCAAATCTTCGACTCCTTACTGAAACAGGAGCAGAAATCGTTGATTATTCTGATATATAATGTGAATTAGATCAAGTTTAATGCCAGCGTTCCTCCCTACAACGATTATTTGCCTACCTCATAAGTGTAGCTGAAGGCTCGCAAATAACCAATGCTCCCTCACACATACTTCTGACGTTAGACACACTAATCTTTATGCATATATAACATATTATCTTGGCTGTAATCTCGTTAATCCATGCCATCTATCTACCTGTAATAAAAACTGATACTTGGTTGAACGATGGAACCACTGATATGGCGATCCCCCTAACAAGCTTTTTCTTCCTATAAAAGATCAGTTTAGTAACGTTGAAATAAGGATTTACTGTCGCAGTGACGTACATCTCCAAGTCATTGCCGACCAAATTATTCAAATTTTGGACTTACTTTTTTGTCATTTGCAAATACGAGGCGGTGACACATGTTTACTTACCATCGTGTACACTACTCCGGTGTTTAATCTAGAAGTGGACTGCTAGCTTTTTCTCAGAAACCGTTCTGACTCAATCTGTAAGCAAGCTTTCTTTGTTGGAGAATTAAAGTTGCTTAGTCTATAGATCCTGGTCTCCGTTGTAGCAAAACTAAGACCGAACTGCCAATACAAGTATTTGGTCTATAATTTCACACTCACGCCACTTTGCTCGGGGATTCAAAACATAAAACCATCTGGCCAATCTTCACATTCATTCTGGATCTATGAGAAACGTATAGTCTACGCCATAACAGTGATCAGCACTTTGGGGCGCTGTGTTACTGCGACAATAATATTTCGCTAATCCTATTACGCAAGACAGTTCAAGGTGGACCTATAATAGTACCGTAGGGTAACAAATCACAGGATCTTGTCCGATCTCATCCAGATCAATAATTGGTTGTTTCTAGGGAACAACCCTTGGAGTAGTTCGAAGAGAGTTCGTCAGTCAGTGCAGTAATTTAGTAACAAACACATCAAAAACTAAAACCCAATGACTTTGAGATATTCAATTTGCAACGCATACAAATATTATCCAAACGCAGGGTTTTAGTGTTTGAATAACCGAGGGAACGCATTTTGTCAAATTGTTCCGCGAATTTAATTTAAAACGTCAACTGGATTTGGGGAAGAATTTCTACCCTAAACTGAAAGTACCTTACAGGCATCTTAACAAAATTAGAAAGGGGAAGCTAAGCATCCGGAATTCTTAGAATGCACAGCCATCTCAAAACATTTCACATATTTGACGTCGTAATCAGGATCTAGAAAATTTTCTTCACGGCCGTGGATACGCTGAGACAATTTTTGTCAATACGCGGTTATGGCTCACATGTTACGGAAAACTTATTCTCTAAGTCAACGAAGGAAATTGTCACAATATTAAATGAACAATGATATCGATTTATCTAATGATTCCTCAATGAAATGCAGATTCCACACATCTGGAAACAATGAATCGTCACAAAAACTTTCAAGGGGCGATTAAATTGTGCCCGCAAACTAATGCCCGTTGACTATTCTTCCGTAAGAGAACTAACTAGTGGTTGGTTCAGCGAA